TTGTCCAAATGAAGTCTTTAGCAATGCATATTACTAATCAAAACTGAAGTTTTTATATATTTATGGTAGGAAATTTACAAAATATCTTCATGGAACATGATCTTTACTTAATATTCTAATGATTTTTGGCATAAAAGAAAAATCTATAATTTTGACCCATACAATGTATTTTTGGCTATTGCTACAAATATACCCGTGTGACTCATGACTGGTTTTGTGGTCCAGGGTCACAGGTTATATATACTGTATATAATCTGTATTTTTCATTTTTGGGAAATATCTGTAAATATCTATTATGCAGCTTCTTCAGGGCACATCTATCTATCTATCTATCTATATGCCAATTTTTTTCAGGTTTAAAGTAACTTTTCTAGTTCTAACTTAGAATGAATATTAACTGGACTAATTATTTTATTCATTAATACAAGATATAAGAGGAAAAAATATTTAATTTAGGCCTCATATTCTGTATATTCAAATACATTATGCATCTGAACATAAAGAAAAAAACAGTTGTTCATAGAATGTGTAAACAAAAAGAGGATATAATGATGATATATGATAAGGCCTCATTCAAAGAAAAATGAGTAAACAAGTAATCGACTTTCAGGTTTAACATGAGCTCAGTTTTGTTGCTTAGAGACATGCCATGCAAAGTTCCATGTTGTGTTGTGTGTGAAAATGGGCGGTAGTGGAAAAAGAGAACATGTTTAAATCACCTTAAATATCTCACTGAAACTATATTTCATCAGTCCAGCAGAAAACAAAAACTGCTAACCATGTCTATAGCTCTGTCTTCTCAGAGTGAGATGTCCCGGAACAAAATTGAACCTGTAGCAAATGAAGAGAGTGACACAAAAGTCATACTCCAGTCAGGTTTGCCGGGCTTCTATTTCTTTCTCTTTTTAAAAAAAAATAATATATTTGTTCAGATAATTTTGATGCCATTGAGACTAACCTCTTGCTTTTGGGTTTAATCAGATGGTGATCAATCCAGAAGCTCTGGGTTCTGTGGATACCTCCTTACCTTCTTCTCCTTCCTCCTTGTCTTTCTTACTTTTCCTGTCTCGGTCTGGTTTTGTATGAAGGTAAGAAAAAAAATTACCTAATGTAAAACCTACTTAAAAATTGTTTATTATTATTATTATTATCAAACAATAAAATCTGACATAAACATTAAGGTCATCAAATTAAGTGAAAATCACTTATAACTTCATTATTTATATATATATCAATCCCTAATCTATATTTCTTTTTGTCAAAAGATTGTCCAGGAATATGAAAGAGCAGTTATTTTCCGATTGGGACGACTCCTAGGCGGTGCTAAAGGACCTGGTTATTAATTACTATTCTTAAAATCATGAATAATTTGTTAAAAATGGTTTACTTAGCTCAATTGTAACTAGCAGTTCTTTTTATTGATTGCTTTTAAAGGTTTGTTCTGGATTATTCCATGTGTGGACACATTTAGGAAGGTTGATTTAAGAACAGTGTCTTTTGACATCCCTCCACAAGAGGTGAGTGATTAATTTGAAAATGTTTAATCGTTGTTATTTTTTTCAATTAATACATATTACAAGTTTAATATCATATTGTGTTATAATGTAATATGTATCACATTTTCTCCTCAGGTGCTGACCAAAGACTCAGTGACTATCATGGTGGATGCGGTGGTCTACTATCGTGTCTTTAACCCCACTGTCTCTATTACCAAAGTGGAGAATGCTAATCATGCCACACAGATGCTTGCACAGACTACATTACGAAACATGCTGGGAACTAAGAGTCTGGCAGACATCTTAAAAGACCGTGAGGAGATGTCTGAACAGATGGAGGTAAGATAACCCTTCCTGAAAACAACTCTAAATCTTTAGTTGTTTTACTCCTAAAAATAAAACCGTCCTTATTGGCATGTATGGGTCAATGAAGAACCGTTAACATCCATTCCACAAAAGGTTCTAGGGGAACTCAAAATGGTTCTTCTATAGCATCACTGCGGAAACCGTATTTTTGAAATCTTTATTTTTAAGAGTATTTCAACATTTTTCTTTCTGGATAGGAGCATATAAATGCCTTAAATAAAAATTGTTAATTGTTTCATCTTTTGCCTGACAGGCTGTGCTGTATGCTGCATCCAAGAACTGGGGTATCAAAGTGGAACGGGTCGAGCTTAAAGACGTCAAACTGCCCACCACTTTGCAGAGAGCCATGGCAGCTGAGGCAGAGGCCACCAGAGACGCCAGAGCCAAGGTGGGTGTCTGAGCACTGAAAGATTGTTACATGCTTTACACACACAAACACACGCTATACTGTCTGTTCTGCCGAGCCAGCCAAGTTTAGTCTTATCAGCTTTGCAGCTTTGTGTTCAGTCTGTCTGGGGAGACACGCTGTTCTCTGATTGGTGGATGAACACCTGCAGCCCCTCACATAAGGTCAGAAGTGTAAATGAACTGTAACCCCCTTAAGCCAATACATTTCCAAAACAAGACCTACAGACCAGTAAAGCACTTGCAGGTCAAGACATTAGCCTAATTTTATTGCTATTTGTGATGACTGACCACTTACAATATAGTTAGATACCTCTTACTGAATCTGCAATACATGTATATATTTTGTGACTGTAAATGTAGTTATTTTATCTTGTGGATATATGTGTATGTGTGTGTGTGTATAGTTACATAGAAATAATTGATTTATATTTCTATATGATTCTAATATATTATGATAATAATTTAAATATAATTAGAATTAATAAATTAAATGTAAAATAGTTACATTAATTTAATTTGTGTAATTTAAATTCTATATATATATAATGTGTGTGTGTAAATTATTTTTTATTTCTTGAGAAATATATGTAAATATCTATCATTATATATATATATATATATATATATATATATATATATATAAATACATACATGCATACATACACACACACACTTTCTTTCACACACACTTATATTTCTTTTCAGTGTTTTAAATAAATTGATAAATCAATCTACATGAAAAAAGTGTCATACATCGTTTATTCATCCACCATTCATCTGTTTTTTCTTATTTTATTTATTAATTGAACCATTCATCCATACAGTTCAGTGATGCTAACCTGACCTCCCCTTAAAATACAGCAGGAGCTCTCTCAATAAACACTACAATAATGTGAGTCATATTGTTGACTGGAAACCTGAGTCTTTATGTCCTAACACTATGGCACAGAACAGCAGAAAAACAAACTGGATTTGCTCAATGGAATTTTCCTAGTAATTAAAGGTGTGTGCCAGAGGCCAGACTGTGAATTGGGATTGTGTTTACATGAAGAATGAAAAGTAAAGGTAAAGTGCTTGACCACTGAAGTGTTGCCTTTGTAAAATGAACATATTTAAGAGCGTTCTAATCTATCATGAACAGGTGATCGCAGCAGAGGGAGAAATGAAAGCCTCTCGTGCGCTGAAGGAGGCAGCAAACGTGATGTCAGAGTCTCCGTCTGCGCTTCAGCTGCGCTATATGCAGACGCTGACTGAGATTGCCTCGGAAAGGAACTCAACTATTGTCTTTCCTCTTCCTATTGACTTCATCTCTAATTTCATGAAAAGGTGACCTTATATAGGAATATCTATTACTGTTCAAATATCACTGTACAGTACATTGATTCTCTTTCCTTTAATATAGGCAAAACATGGTCTGGTTATATTATATTTCGCACTTTGCATAGTTTCTTATTTAAAAATGAATTGTTCAAAATGTTATTTTGTATTACATGATTAAATAATCAAATAATGTGGCTAAGCTATATTCTACTCTGATCTGATTTATTTAATTATCTATATATTTTGTATGCATTTAACTAATGTTTTAAGTATGAGAATAACATTTATTTAAATTTCATTGTGTATGCCTACAGCCTATGTTAACAACAATAAGTACACACATACAGAGAACATGATCATATGACAGAATGACTGTTTAACCCTTGACGCTGTCATAAGAAAAGACTAACGGTTAATCTGTCAGCCTGATGCAGAAAAAATGGGTACAATGAGCCCTGATCAGTGAGTTACATAATAGGTTTGACTACATCAGATGCAGGGATGGATGGACAGTTTAGTAGTTAATCTGCCATCTAATCTGTTTCAACCTCACAACCAGTGTAACGAATCATCCACTGAAGGCGAGCGTAAGTGAGAACCCAAGTGCAGTTTATTTACAGTGATCCAAACATCCAAACAATAAACGAAGACTAGAGACACAGACTTGACGAGGCATGAACAGACTAGACTCACCAACAGCAGGTTACAATATCAATACACCACCAAGACTATGGAAACATGATGGCTACTTATAGCAGACAAGAGGGTCACATGACATGAACAAACCAATGGGAAACAAGACATGACTAAGACTACCAATCAGAACATGACACATACACAAGGCAGAGATACATGAGGGAAGGGAAGCATGACACTAACAGCAGGAATCAAACTAAAAAAATAAAAGACATGAAAACATGAACAAGAAACACAAACCTTGACATATCCCCCCCTCTAAGGGCGGCTCCCGACGCCCCAGTGCAACATCCACCCCAACCAACACAACAAAACTTCCAGGAGGGTGGAGGACTGGAGGTGGTCCAGGGGGTGGGATGGAGGGCCAGGCCCGTGAAGAGGAACAGGCAGAGCAGGGAGCCATGGCGGAGCAGGCAGATCGGGCAGCCA